CTCTCTCTCTCTCTCTCTCTCTGGCTGGAATATGCATATGGTTGATTAGCACTGGGCACAGAAACCTAATTTTCTTTCAGAATGACCCTCGTTCTACCCCTGTTCGAATAGTTTTGTTCTTATCACACATTTATTTCTATTATTGCAGGAATCGGGGTCTCCAATCCTAACGGATGATGTTAGTCTCCAGGTATTCATGGACCATCTGAAAAAACTGGCAGTGTCAAGTGCAGCATGACCTGGATCATAACAAGGAAACAACAAAAAGGAAAGAATTAATGGGATCATATTGACAGTTCAACAGATGTGGGAAAATGTATTACCTGTATTTTCTCACATACGACACATGCTCTTCTCTAAACGCAGCCCCCCAAAATAGGGGTGCATATATTAAGCAGGGAAGCTGTTTTTCTGCCTGGGATAGAAGCACCCTACTTTAAATCCTGCTCCGCAGTGCAGCAGCATGACTATTCAGGCAACCGAGGAATTCATTTGACTTAATGGTTCATTGGTTTTTACTCCACGGGTGTTAACCATTGTCTCCTTTTTGACGGTCTTTATGGTCTTGCTAAGAGAAGTGAAACTGACCTTTCTTAGGGCAATTTTATAGTCTGCTAGCTGATCCCATTAGCCCAAGGAGGAAAAGAAGGGTAAGTCACCTGAAGACTGGGTTCTTCCCCTGGGCTCTGCAGTCATATAACTGGAAAAATCCATTTTTCTTCATTCTGCCTTTCAAAAACAGGGTACATACATCTTGGGCCATGTTGTGTGTCAGAAAATACAGTACGTTCCTTTTCCTCTTTGTAGGCCACAGCTTTCGTATATTTCATTAAACAAATACTGGAGGGGAGTTTTCTACTGACTCCTTTTAGATGTTAATTTATTTGTATGCCATTTGTCTGTGTTCTTTCTGATTTACATTTTTCATACATTGTAACCTCAACTCCAGAATGTGTTAGCTTATAGAAATCTGAATACAGCCTTTCACTTAACTGTAACAATCTGTATTAAAAATATTCTCCTTTAGCAACTCTTTTGGATAAAGGAAACTGTACTGATGGAAAATAAAATTGGTTAAGGCAAGCATTAATATTTAGTGCTATACCGAACCTGACTCTGAGAGGGAATTACATCAGCCTTCTAGTTCTTCCAGTAAATTTTCAAAGGTAAGCCAGAGTTGTGCTTCAAGTTATTGAAAAGAGAGAGAATTTCCGTTCCTATTGGCCAAGCAATTTCATTAGTGATTCTGAATCTCTAAGCACTGAGAATTACAGAATGCTCTCCAACAGAGAAGGTGGGTGCAAAAATGCGTACCGTTTTGGTACGCAGTTGTGGGA